GTGGATTCCAGAACACTCTGGAATGCGCACCAAGCCTTTGCAGCCTGCTAAAGATCACACATCCTATCACTACACAATTATTTAAACACCTCTACCAATCTAAAACTAATTATAAAACTCTAAGCATATATAAGTAGATATTTCTAAGCATAAATGACAATCAACATTACAAAACCTAACAGTAAACTCAGAGAACGGAAGATGTGAAATAGTGGGTAAACTGTGGAAGTGTCACAGTGTGAGTTTAAAACTGAGAGGATCGAACCGCTGACGCCATCAGGACGAAACAAGAAGAAAATCCGTTCGTTTATTCAAACTGAGCGCTGTAAATGCTGCAAACACAAAGAGCCGCAGGACAAGGACAAGCTTAAGAGCGCCCCCTAAGGAACAGGAAGTGAACTGACACAGACAGACAATACAATCCAGCCTGGAGGCCTAATAATGATGACAATGTGAGAACGTTTCACAATCACAGCTGCGATAACACGACAGAATAAATATCATTACTAAGACATACCAGTGTTAGTATGATTCACCTGTAAAATATCAACCACATAATACTACATGTGTTTATTATATTTAGCAATCGATTTTTAGTCTTTATTTTAAACTTTATTTCATTTAATTGTTTATTATCTTGTGTTTATTATGTTTTAACTTTTTATTACCATTGTATTTTTATTTATTTTTTGCTTTTTAGAATAGGATAGAATAGAATAGGATAGAATAGAATAGAATAGAATAGAATAGAATAGAATAGAATAGAACAGAGCTGCTGATACTGGCTGCCAGCTCAGAGTGGTGCCGGAAGTTAAATACTTTTTTAAATGTATTGAGCTTTTTTAATCTACAGACTTATATTCAGCTTTTCATTGAGAATAATTTATTCATTATTTTTAACCTTTATTGTTTTCTGTCTGGATTTTTTCATCTGTTAAAAAGCAGTTTTATTCGTGTTCAGTGACATCTCATTTTTATTGAGCTAAGTGACTTTATTTAATTTATGTTTAATGTTTTGGCCTCTGTGAGAATTTGCCAAGACTCAGGATAATAGATCGTCTCTCATAGTAACAGCTATAATAACATATGTAACAACAATTTTTTAACTTTTCTCAGAGATAGAAAACTTTGCACACATATTTTAAGATTTTAGGATTAAATAGGTGATTTGTACCATTTTCCTTGTGTCTTCATTGTCGTTCATGGTTCATGATGTTGAACTGTTGGTGTTGAGCAGCGTGAGTCACAGTATGTGTTTCTCTTCTAGACGTCCTATGACACTAAGCTTCCCGTGGCAGGAGCAGGTGAACGCAGCAGCAGTTCACATGTGAGTCTCACAAACAGCTTTTACAGTCACATCTGTTGGTAGAGGTGCAGTAAATGATGTGAAGGTGAAAGCAGGACCCTTTCATCTAATTTATTTTTTATTTATGTTGTTTTGTAAGCGATTATCTGTATTTAGATGACACCAGTGTTGTAATACAAATATTTTATATGTTATTAAATGATCTGAATATTGATGAATTAACAAACCATCTGTACGAGAGCACCGCGCACGTCCTGCACAGGATTCATCGTTTGGTGGTTTCAGTTTGTTTCTATGAAACAAAAAATCATCCACAGAGACAAACAGTTTGTGTGTCAGGCTGGAAACATGTTTGTTTCTGTTGTAACATGGGAGTCTATGGGGACGGACTCACTGCTGCCTCCACTGGACACTAGAGGAACTGCAGGTTTTGTTTTTGGCACTTCTGCTTCAGCTTCAGTTGTTGGTTCGGAGGATTGGCTCTCATGAATCAGGGATCCAGTGACCTCTGTTGTAAACAGCTGTTAATTACCTACAAATTTGCTTTGTGCCGACGATGGCGCTAAAAACCCAGCGGTGGTCATTTAGCACGATCATTGATCCGTGATTGGTTTACGATAGCATGTTCAGCTATTCAGCATCAGCTCATCAGATGCTCGCATTTGTTTTAAATCACCGTCTTTGTCTCTTTCACAGAACGGTGATTTTACAGATGGTGCGAGAGGCGCACTCTGTCGAATCCCGAGTATCGTCATCACCTCCGAGTCCAGCCCTTTCCTTTCCACGGGACGAAGGGGTTCCCGCACAGCTCGATCGAAGGTGACCAACAGCAGCGGCGGTGGAGGTGCAGGGGCGGGTTCGGCGTAGAGCTCCACCCTCCTCTCCTGTTTAAACACCTGCAGCCATGTGACCAGCTAAGGTCCAGGCAGATATTTGGGACTGTGCAGTTCAGAAAAGCCATCAGAACTCATCAGATTGTAAATCTGCAGGTCGTTTATAGATTTTACCCGATTTGTACCGATACGGATGGAGACAAATTCCAAACCCAACCTGGAGCTGTTTTACTTAAAGAGCAGCTTACCTGAAACAGGGTGTTTCCTCTCACTCTGTTTGGTTGTTTTGACTGAAGGGAAAGCAGCTGCTGTGAAATGTTACAGAATTCATATTTTGCATTGAGTTTGCTCTTCAAAGAGCTCCTGAAAGCTGAGAGCAGGTCTGATCTTTGATTACGCTGCAGCCACACGGACTCTGAGGTGGAAATGTTCAGTCAGACTGATGAAAATGCCTCTTTAGCCAAGGCCTCCTGTGACAGGTGAGGGTCCCTTTAGAGGTTTTCTGGTGTCTGAGAGGAGCTGAGGGAGGAGATTTCTTCATTCTGTGATTTCTCAGTAAACCGTGTGCTTTCCTGCCCTTGGTCTTCTTATGTTTCTGCTTTGCATGTGG